TTGATACGGGTTGAACAGCTCTCCAGAAATAAAGGAAATCTCGGCAACATGGGTTGGAGTGTCCCTGAAACTAGGCACGGTATGCCCAGGGAAGGAAAAGCTTTAGTATCATCCACGGAATCAATATACAATTACTGGTGTTTTGTGAGGCTCAGTACAGAATGATGTTGTTTTAAGGGTCGGTGCTTGTCAATAGCGATTAGCTCATGTTATTGTGATATTAATCTTAGTCGGCGTACATCCTTGTGAGCTAGCAGTAGTGTAATTGACAAATTGGCCCGGAATACCTGAGTGATGGTAGTACATCGTAGACTTCCTCATTAGCCGTTCGTTTTTACTACTCCAGTGTTTAGCGGTTTACTGCACAAAATGTCGTTTCGAATATTTCATAAGATTTAAATCTTAATACAAATTCCGTTGGGGACAGGTTTGGTGTTTATTCTCGAACTGAACGCACTGACATTTGAAATTTTATAAACCGAAAATTCAGCTTCTAATTTCAGAAAACAAAATTATGTTTTCTTGAAAATCGCGGAAAAGTAGATTTTCTAGCTGGTCTGCCCACACCTAACAGACTGCTGACGTGAATGAAATTGATATAGACAACGTTTGATTGTGAATTATCTATTGGCACATGAATCATCCGGAATATAATGAATCATTACGAATTTTTGGTGAGAACACCACAGCATCTCGCGAATGCTGATCAGTTCTCTATTTCCCTTGCCATGTTTTGCGTGCCGAATTGCGAGACTATTTTTAATATAAATATATTATAATTGAATTCCAACGAGAACCGACAGCGACAGGCTCATAACATGCGTTCATTAGGATAAAATACAAATGTGCGATTAATATTGCTATATTTACATTTTTTATATGAAAATTACCAGCAGAAATGCATTTCTTTTGATTATGAAAGAAAAAACTCTCGTGGAGTAACACGTGGTTTACTTATGACGTCATATACTAACATTGCTCAATGAGAATCTTGTCACCTCATTTCGGAAAACATGGAGAATGCTCCTGCGTCAAACGTTCAAATGACTATACGGTTAATTATTGGTGCAAATTTTATTTAAATAGGGCTGTTCCGTCAATGTCGTTTAAAGGACGACGCATATACAAAACGCAATAAATATATTAATTATTTAAGAACAAATAAATAAAACTAAACAATTGTTCTATAGTAAAAATGTAAATGTATGGATTGAACGGCGTTTTTTAAATTTTCATGCCGGTATGAACGCAAATCGGTTACATCCATATTAAACATGAAGCCGCTAGGGCTTCGTGTTTAATATGGATGTAACCGATTTGCATGAAAAAAAAAATCGCCTTTCAATTCCTTTATAATTTTACTTTTAAAGCTCCACCAAAAAAGAAAAGCATTATCATTTTAGAGAGTTTCTGTTTGTTCCTGAAACATATCCAGGATGTGTATAACTTGTTATAAAAACCTTTCAGGTGGAACAAAGGCAGATCTCCCCGTTGGCAAAGTTTCCAATCCGTGCGACTAAGAGAAACGACAAGAGTGGTTACCGAAAACCCTTGACAGCATTATAGAAACTCAAACGAAAAGAAAAATATTCGCAAGTATTTATTTCTTGTTTGACTGTAATCAAACATCAAGATTAAGTACATTTATCTAGAGAACAGACACCCTTAATCTAAGTATAAGCAATCAACGTCTCGTTTGAATGTGTTTGCTTATTAACAATATGTCTTTATCGATCGGAAATGAGTAGTTTCCAATTACTTAATTTAAATTTACATGGACATTGATGTTGCCGGACTTTATGTCAAATGCCATTTTTTTAACATGTTTGCAATATTCGAAGAAGTACCAAACGGCGTTAATGCAAATTTGACATTTTTAGAAAAATATCAATCAGCTGAATTGATAGTTTGTCTTCCATTGCATTTTCAAAACCAATTTCATAATTATAGCCAATTTCCGTCTTCATCCTCTCGTCTGAAATATAGTAGTCTCTGTTGTTAAAGTGTTTGTTAGCAGGCACGGGTATTGATTTCAAGCCTTTCAAAGACAATCATTGGAAATCCTGACATAATTAATAAATATGCGTAAAAATGACCATGTTACATTTGAGCAGAGTAAAGGCCGTGTGCACGTAAGCGAGAAAGGACATTATCTCCAAGAACATTCCATCAGTAAGATGAAAGGAAGTCCTAGAAATGAACTTTAAACACGCTGTAGTGGGTTTTGTCATAGAAACACATGGCGTTTGATTAAATTATCAACACTGATTTTAAGCTTGATGTCTTAGAACACACATAAATGCAAACTCGTACCACCATAAGGAAATCTTATCGATTTTCAAGTATCTTAATGACTCTGTCAATGCCTATTTAGTTGCGAATCCGATTCGAGCATTGATATTCCGGATTTTCCCGATAGGATCGTGATTGCGGTCAATCTTATAACCCCGAGACACGGAGTTCTTTCTAAACCGCCAGCATTTCAAATTGCTCAATTTGCTATGATGGACAAATATTATCTTCACCAATATCTGTAGTAAAGAAAGTGGGGATAACACATTGATTTTCCATCTCTTACAGCGGTATAATGGCCCCAGTCTATATGCTGTGTGAGGAAGCACTTAGTCGGCTCCCTATCTCGCCATACCGGGGTCCGGAGGGAGTCTTGTGCTGTAATTGTCCTGCTCAAAGAAGCATGAATTAAAACTACACGTGTCCAGTTCGTAGAGCCAGTATGCATTTACCATTCTGTATATTTGTATTCCCTGGAAGAGATGTTGTGGGTTTATACCTTTCCCAAAATGTCTGTGTGATTCAGTTGACTACAGTCGATGTAGTAAGCTTAAATTGCACTCTTTGCCATACCACGCGAAGTTTTCCAGTTTTATATTATTTAGTAAAATAGTTTCAGCAATTCATTTCTTATAATGACACGTGGTTTTTTTAATAATTATTTTGCCAAATTTGTGTCATGCTGTACTATAAAAGGAACAGATTTCTGTATCAAAGAATAATTTTACGTAAAAAATTCAAGTTTTTTAAAGATGGCATTTCTTTCTCGTTTCAGTTTTCAAAGCTGACATATTTCCTTTCTAAAATGGTAATACTAAACATCATCTTATTGGACGTTTCAAAAATGTTGGACTGAACATTTCAAGCTACGGCTGAAGCCAAAAAAGTGTACTATGCTTTGGAAATAACGAGCCATAACCATTAAGACAAACGAGCTACGCGGTAGCGGTCTCTCTGATATTCCGTTCGAACAAAAACAATTTGTCGCTCTGCTCGTTTATGATAGCTGGAGGTGAGGTAACGATTGTGATTTAGCAAACAACCATAGTGATTATGACAGCCCCATATTTCCTCACATTTATTGCGATGAGGCGGGAAACGAATTAGTCAACAACCTGATTATACAGAAATGGGCTCCAATCTGGAACATAGCACGCATCAAGGAAATGTGATTTCTAAATACACGTGCTGTTATAGACCCAAATCAGCGATTTAACGATTTTGTGAAGTAGAGTGGTACCTAAACTGTAGAGCTAAAACGCGAAAATTGGTCCGATCGTTTTTTTTGTACAAGAGCACGATTTGATCGTTTGTAATCACAGTGCCTCGGTCAATTCCGGCAAATAAACGTGACGTTCGGCCTATTTCGGTAGTCAACGGAAGTTGTCGGAATATACCGGACCGGATATTGCTATTGATTTTCTAAGCCGTCCTAGTATTTTGACAATTGGATGAAGGCATTTCCTTTAAGGAAAATATATCCCAGATAGATTACTATATTGACAACAAACAATCAAATCCAAATTTGAAACATGTTCCAACATAGCAACACGCAGACTAAAAGAAAACGCTTGGTCTACTTAGAGCGTCAGTATTCGAGCCTTCATATTTAGACATGTCCTGAGAACAACAAAAAATCTGTAAACGGTTATCTCATCATAATGTTCTGATTGTTTTAGGTTTCATGTCTGTAAGGTCATGTAACGCCGGAGTCCACTTGTTACGTCACTCAAGTGCCATTTTGAAGCGTCAACACCCTGAAATGTGACACCATGGCTACGAGATAATTAATCACTTAATCTGGTCAAATAATTCTTACTTTATGTTAACCAGGGGTAATGCATGATACAGCAATGAAAAGAAGTTGAGTAGATAAGAGTTGGAATATTATACCGGGATCAATAAGGTCAACAAAGTTAACCTTTCATGCCAAGGTACAGGGAAACAGTGTACTACTGGTTATGGTAAGAAGGCAGATGGTGTGATTTATAAATAATTAAATTTCTCATACAGAAAAAAATAAAAGAAATCAAAGAAATAAATACACATTGCACTTCTTTTGCTCGAAACGGTACCAAATGATACTCACCCTAATTCATTTATATCACATTGTATGTTTTTACAATGTTCTTTCTGTCCTATAAGTGGTAAAGTGACCTTATGAGGTAATGTATGGAATGTTCTGGAAATAGCTTTTGTCTAAGTTAGAGTAGAGAGCATGGTGCATTGTACAAGGCAAATCAGGCCATTGTAAGGAGGAGTTGCGACCGTGCTTTGTTATACTCTCCCAGAATAACCATGATTTTAGCACATCGTTTCAGGCGTAACTTACTGACCTTTTCATGAACATAGAAATACTCATCCACTACTGCGTGGCGTATTTACCTTTACATTTACAATGAGTTATATCGATTTATTTTAAGTAGCGAAGTGATATAAGGTTAACATACTATCGCAATGGATTATCTTCACCCCGGATTATGCTGACTAACATCATGACGAGTCTATCCCCTACATTAGAACCCTCTTTTGATTAAAATGTGCTGAATCCACTAACAACATAATGGCGTTTAATGAACGGAATTTCCGCCGAACCTTGTAGAAAACTCAATCAGGCATCCACGCTAAAAGCCCCTTAACTTCAAATAGAGAGAATGCATTATACCCAGGTACATTTATATACAAAGGAAAGAACAAGACTTGTTTTTCAAGATTATTTTATTAAATATACTTTGTTGCCATGGTAACATCTTAACATTAAACGAGGAAGACACGCGGACATGAAAGCGACCGACATTGTTTTGATACACCACAGGACGACGGGAAGATGAAAAACAAGTGTATGGGATTTTAATTAAGCTTGCTTTCGACTCACTTTGATTACTCTACTTCAGGCAGTAGAATTTCAAATTGATTTTAAGTTATATCCTTCAATATTCTGGTGAATAAATGCTTTCAGCATCCGATAGAAAATCTTGTGATAGACTACAGATATGCCATTACCATGGACATGCTATTAAAATCCAATACACCGTACAGCATTATCGAACAACATCCTGAATTCACTTTCAGCTATCAGGCAATCTAAAGCCAAACAAATGTTTTACCTGATTAAATGCTTAAAAATATTTGTTTTGAACACAAACAGGAATTGAAAACCTTTTTTTTGAGAGCTAACGAAAACGTCTGTTTCCTTTGTCAGGCAAAGAGTGTCATATATATTCCGAATATTTCTTATCTTAATTTTGCCATCAGAGCAAAGTACCAGAATTTGTGGTAACATTCATACAATTAACTTCCACCAATTAAAACACACGCTACAATGGAAATATGATGGATTTAAAACTTCACTTCACTAAATTATTTTAACTGGCATTAGATCGAATGCAGGAATATGAAGTTCGTTCGATATAAATACGCATTAATTTCATTTGTTGCTTTAAGACGGAGATTCCTTTTTAAAACCAATTCATAATCATACATTTTTTCTCTCACTCAGATGTTTCGTTGGTGATGTCTTTCAAATATTGAACACATTATGCACAGAGATTTTCATCACTTTTTGTATCAGTTCAACTTTTGAAATTGTCATTATTGACATACATCCTCATTACATTCATTAGTTCTGCATATTGTATTTTTTTCGGTTGAGTCTATTCTATTTCTATTTAATCTATCGAATACTTGACATAATGATGGTGTGATATTTGGAACAATGCACACAATGCTACTAAAAATTGCCTAGATAATCTTAGACATTATTGTATTAGAATTCATTCCATAAACTTTCTTGCAACACATTCATTTCTTTAATCACAATTAAACAAATCTTCTGCGTGAAAGTGTATTGATTTCAGTTACGTATAAGCAATCGGGAGTGTTTTAATCACAAGATTGACTTTTTGTTTAGAGGAAAAGGAACACTTGGTATAACTTTCCAGCATCATTAGTTATCAATAAATTTATTCACCAAATTAAGAAATTCTTCAATGTCCACGTTAAGGTGTACATTTGTTCAAGTATTACTATTATTTTGAATGTCATCTGGTCCGTTCCTTCCAAATATTTCGATAAACCAATTAATTATATGGGAAATTAAGGCCAGTCGAGTTTAAATAGAATATTCACATGCCTTGACAGGTTGTGTTGTATAATTAGCGCTTTGACGCCATTACCAGAAAACATTTCGTGGGAAATACGAAACTAAAAACATTCGCAAAAACAAATTCTCTCGTGAGTTTAAATGATTACATGTTAAAAATGAGTTAAACGGTTTACATGTGAAAAATGAAGTAATGTAAATCAAACGATATATTAACATAAAGTGAATATGGAAATAATTTACATACAATTGGTCTATCACGAAGCAGTAGTTTTAGACAACGATATACAATTTTACTTTTCACTCTCTTATTCCCTAGTAACAGCAAATATCACAGCCATAACAGCGAATCCCACGAAGGTACATGACATCTTCTTCACGTCTTTGTTACCGTCCATCTCCTTGAAGAGAATGTCAAAAAATATTATATAGAATAGTGTCCCTGTAGCTAAACTTTGTAGAATGGCGTTAGGTACGTTAACGTCTGTATATAACTGTGCTCCTGTTGAAATTGCAATTCCGATGATTATTCCAACAGCCGCTAAAATAGCAAAGGACGCTACACTGAACACCATTGTACTGTGTTTTTCGTCATTGCGCATGTGCTGTAGTCCTATTCCAAACGCTAAAATTCCCCTATGAATGCTTATAGCAAAGCACAGCACCCAGACGTTACTCTCCAAACTCTGAAGTCCAAGAGCCATCCCTTCGAACACACCGTGAAAGGATAAGGCGGTTATAAATAGCACTGACCTCATATGACCTCTACTAGAATCGTCTCCTCGACTTAATTCCGTTACGACCTGTTTGACCTCTAAATCCTGAAGAGGAGCAGGTTCAATTTCCATGTCCATGATTTCTTTGGTATCCTCTGTCTCATTCATCATATTCATTTCGTGTGAACCCGACTCGACATCCTGATTTTGAAGTGAGTGTAAACTCTGAGACTCGATGTCACCTTCAATATCACTTTTTAAAATTGTTGAATGTGTTGTAGGTAAAATTTCACTTTCAGTCCATTCTCGATCGTTGTCGGTCATTGCTTGAAGTTTCTTATATAGAGCTCGAATGGCGTGTTCGGTAAATATCACCCCGAAAAATCCTGCCATTGTCAATAACTCTGCAACCGGATACGTGGAATGCGATCTAATTTGAGACATCATTTGGTCAATTTTAGTCCGTGTTTCCGGAATCAAATGTAAAAAACACGTTCCTAAAAACACTCCCCCTGAGAAACATTTTAAAGATGAAAGCATGTAGTCCAGAACCTTCTTTCGTTTGAAGATTGTTTTCGCAAAATACTGCATGAGTCTACAGGGGAATAGCCCAAACAACACGGTTAGCACGGTAAGGACGACCAGCGAGATGATCTTAGCTACAACTACATCCATGTCCACTTCGGATTCTGGCATTGGGAAATGTCGTCTGCTCGTAAAGCCTGACATGAGACCAATGGAATGATTGAATCATAAGGTTATGGATTAGGACACTTTTTCCCACATTGTCATTAAAAGCGTTTTCTTTTTCAAAATTGTGACATGCTTTTTAAACTGTTAACGGAGTTTTGACGTTAAATTAAATAATACTCTCCATGTTTGATGATAGGTGTTCTTTCTAGTAGCCATGTCCAGAGACTTTTCTATTAAACGAGTTATGTGTAATGTAATGCTGACCATCAATAAATGATCAATACGGTCCAGCCAGTAGGTGCCATATAATCCAACGTTCGGCGAATTAGCGTACACAATCACACGCAAACCAATGCCACAGGTTTTGTTAACCTCACATTTTCAAATACCATGTAAAATGAATTGGATTTGTATTCATCAACCGGTTTAGCAAGGTGATGGAATCCGTATCGTGTGTGTTCATCCGCTTACACAATTAAGTCCTCTATCTGTGTCCAGAGCTCCGTCCCCTATGCACCACCTCAAGACAGTGTGTTATGGCCAGCAATGAACGGATTCCCTAGTGAGCCGGTATCGACTGACCATTACTTCAACAAGTAAAGCTGTCAATAACACGTGACCGTCAATTATTATTGGTAAGTTATATTGTTATCATAATTGCGTTCGATTGTCTGTGATGTGGAATGATGGATATATCTGGACCAGCGAGGGGAAGCAAGTCCGCCAGTAAATATGCACGATATTTATCTCAGTATAGTATGCCAGTGTTGAGCGGAAGTCGGCTATATTTTGTTCCGGCTATTGGAATCCGACGCCACCACGCAGCAAAAGGCGGTATCTTACCCTTTACTCTCGGTGTTAAATGCACCTGATTGCAGATTCATCAATATGTTTGTTGGTGTCACGCCAATCAACAGCTCCTCTCAATCGTCGTTAGAGTCGTGTTACCTGCTTGATTAGGCCCGCCAAGTCCCCTGTCTGACACGGCTTCCCGTACAATACCAATCGATGACAAGCTCCACATACCTGTGTTAGAAACAAGAGCGTTCGGTACAGACGTGGTTCTCCGAGTGGCAGTTTTAATTCAAAAACACTTACCAGTGCCTATTGTTCGTTTTAACATTGAATGTATCCTTTATCTACTTTCGTGACTTAAGCCGCCAGAATTATCAGACATATTAAAGTTTCACATATCTAACGCTCGCCTTTGATAGAACGAGATGGAGGCGCGATTATTTATTCAAAAGAAGCCGATAATAGAATAAGGAGAAGATGAAAGAGAATTTAACTGACTGAAATTACGTTTTCTTAGTGGGTTCGTTTGCATCCTCTGCACAGCGGTGGCCAAACTGTGTCGTGATAAGTGGTACAGTCTGCAGATTTTTCATCTGAAAAGAGATAAAAATAAACCCAACTTAATTCTAGAAAAGTGGACACATATTATTTACATCCTTCAATTGCATTTGAAGAAGCTATCTTTCCAACATTTTAGAAATATTCAAATTTTCTTTCAAGAAGTTTTTATCTGTATCTTTTAATATCGCTTTATTTAATGCTTTTTGTCCTAAGATTGTACCATTGCACACATCAATTTTATATTAATTTGTATACCTGTATACCCAAAATCATATATTAACATTTGACATTCTTCAGCAATTGAAAATCACTACAATGATCTTTCTCTCCATAATTGAACATGAGCCATGCTTTTTATAAATGATAAACTGTTAATCAGGCACGACATATCCTATTCCTTGCACCACAACACACGCCAACATGTCTTACGTATTAGGCTTACTTAGTACGTACTGAATACAAGTCGAGCGAACTGAATCGAGTTGTATGTTCAGTCTTTCGTAGTAGCTACAAATGTACTACATGAAGGCCTCCAGTTTATATATTCTGTAGTTCCAAACATTCAGTTTAAGTAGACACTGAATCGGGGTGTATGGCTAGTATTACGTAGGAGCTACTTTATGCAGGCCTCCATCATCTTTATTCTGAAGGTCGAAACATTCAGTCTTACTGAATATTAACCGAATCGGATTATATGTATCTATATTCAGTATGTTTTAATATTCAGTGTAGCGTTGTAGCTTCTTAATGCAGCCCCCTCCCCCCTATCTACATTCAGACTACCCTATCTACATTCAGACTACCCTATCTACATTCAGACTCCCCTATCTACATTCAGACTCCCCTATCTACATTCAGACTCCCCTATCTACATTCAGACTCCCCTATCTACATTCAGACTCCCATATCTACATTCAGACTCCCATATCTACATTCAGACTACCCTATCTACGTTCAGACTCCCCTGTCTATATTCAGACTTCCCTATCTACATTCAGACTACCCTATCTACATTCTGACTCCCCTATCTACATTCAGACGACCCTATCTACATTCAGACTCCCCTTTCTACATTCAGACTTCCCTATCTACATTAAGACTACCCTATCTACGTTCAGACTCCCATGTCTATATTCAGACTTCCCTATCTACATTCAGACTTCCCTATCTACATTAAGACTACCCTATCTACGTTCAGACTCCCATGTCTATATTCAGACTTCCCTATCTACATTCAGACTTCCCTATCTACATTAAGACTACCCTATCTACGTTCAGACCCCCCTGTCTATATTCAGACTTCCCTATCTACATTAAGACTACCCTATCTACGTTCAGACCCCCCTGTCTATATTCAGACTTCCCTATCTACATTCAGACTTCCCTATCTACATTAAGACTACCCTATCTACGTTCAGACCCCCCTGTCTATATTCAGACTTCCCTATCTACATTCAGACTCCCCTGTCTGCATTCAGACTACCCTATCTACATGCAGACTTCCCTATCTACATTCAGACTATCCTATCTACATTCAGACTACCCTATCTTCGTTCAGACTCCCCTGTCTATATTCAGACTCCCCTATCTACATTTAGACTCCCCTGTCTACATTCAGACTCCCCCGTCTACATTCAGACTCCCCTATCTCCATTCAGACTCCCCTATCTACATTAAGACTCCCCTATCCACATTCAGAATCCCCTATCCACATTCAGACTACCCTATCTACATGCAGACTTCCCTATCTACATTCAGACTTCCCTATCTACATTCAGACTATCCTATCTACATTCAGACTACCCTATCTCCGTTCAGACTCCCCTGTCTATATTCAGACTCCCCTATCTACATTCAGTCTCCCCTATCTACATTCAGACTCCCATATCTACATTAAGACTACCCTATCTACGTTCAGACTGCCCTGTCTATATTCAGACTTCCCTAGCTACATTCAGACTACCCTATCTACGTTCAAACTCCCCTGTCTATATTCAGACTTCCCTATCTACATTCAGACTATCCTATCTACATTCAGACTACCCTATCTTCGTTCAGACTCCCCTGTCTATATTCAGACTCCCCTATCTACATACAGACTCCCCTATCTACGTTCAGACTCCCCGGTCTATATTCAGACTTCCCTATCTACATTAAGACTACCCTATCTACGTTCAGACCCCCCTGTCTATATTCAGACTTCCCTAGCTACATTCAGACTACCCTATCTACATTCAGACTCCCCTATCTACATTCAGACTCCCCTATTCAGAAGGTATGTATTTAGTATTACTATAAAGGTACTAAATGAAAGCCTTGAGAATCTGTATTCAGGAGTTTGTAGTAGGTGCTTAAATAGGTTTGGGGTTTTAACTTACTTTGAAAATGTTGAATGCAGGGCGGGCAAAGAGGTTCTTAATGTAGACCCTTAGTATCTATATTCAGTAGGTCAGAGTACTCAGTCTAACTTTGTATCTACTGAATGTAGGTCGTACACATATATCGGAAGCTATGAGTTTCAAGCTTATGTTGCAGGTTCTTCGGTATCTACATTGTATATACTACGTAGATGCTAAATACAGGCCTTGAGCATCTATGATCTGTGGGTTTAAGTATGCAATCTTACTTCATACGTATGCAGACATGCATTACCTATACTCAGTAGGTTTGAGTTTTCAGTCGCATTTAGTATAGTTCTCATTTCAGTTTCATTTTGTTTGAGACTGAATTTTCTACCTCAGTGGTCCTATTTGTGACGTCGATTCAAAAATGATAACTTAAGATTCTGATACTACTGAACCTCTTCTCAATCCTTGTTGGTTTTAGCTATCTTTTTCTACGGTCGTACCGATATTCTTATGTCCCAAAACATCTATCGCTATACAGATGTGTTATCAAAATCATACGCTAAAGCGAAATTAATTTTGTACCTGTGTACTCCCATCAATTGATAATGTAATATCATTTTATGACCAATTAGACCACAAATCAATAAACCAAGGATGCGAATCAGACACCTACCACCATACACCACAGTACATACATAACAGTGCGTGTCACAGCACCTTGACAACAAACCCTCCTCGATGACATAGAGCCTATTGTTGAAAGCAGTGTTAGCCTTCTTTTCTACAACGATTGGTTTCATAGTAATTTACAATAAACTTACACGTGTTTTGATCAATTTTGAAGTCCCGTGTGACTCTTATTGATCTGATAATGAAGATGAGTTTTTTGTTTTTTTAATTTAGAAAAAAACTGTGGCTTCCTTATCTTCATTGCTTATGCAACTTGGCCAATAGATTATTTATCCTTCACGTACACTGTAATGGCTAAGCCTGAAAATCTTAGCACCAACTAACATCAACTTTAAATATGTTAAACTAAAAGTAAATAAAATGTACCAAGTTGTATAAAAAAAATCTTAAATAAGCCAATTATTACAAAACATATTTGTTATTTTTCAGAAAAATCGTATTTGTGATGATTTTTTTTAAAATCATCATAAAATCCCACACTTTCGGACCCAGACCACGTTTGTATATGAGTGAAAACTTTTAACCAATATCATATTTGGAAATAATTCTTATATTCTATATAATATGTAAATAATATATATGAATACTGAAATGTAAAGTAAAAGCAAAGTGTGCATATTCACAAATTTAACATAATTACAATATCTACACAATCATACACATTTTCTACGATTATTAGGAAATGGGATTTGAAAAATTTGCCTTAATTTATACTTTATGGAATGGAATTTAATCAAACCTTTTCTAGTTAAAACAAATCCTGTCACAATTCATATTGATTTAAATGCTATGCAATAGTAATAAATCAACAAAGCTTTTTTGACCATACAAATACATAAAAAGCCAGATGATTTAATAAACAAACAAGTACTAGTAAAACAGCCAATTAAAGAAAGACGAATGCTCTTCAGAATAAAATGAAGAATATATGTCTATACCTCTTTATCCTTGTGTAGCACTATCCTTACTAAATAAGGAATGACAACAAACGAGAGAAACCAAGGCGATACCAAAACCAATAGTAAACACCCTGGTTCTACACATAGAGAGGTCACAGGCGAACCAGATTTTCTAGAATGGTAGATGTGGCATGTATTTCTCGCAATCAATTATATAAAATGGATGTTCGGAATAAGATTCATCAGTTTGATATGTATAATAAAGGCTCAGTGTGTTTTGAACACAAACAGGAATTGAACATTTCTATCGACGAGCTTTCGAAGATGTCTGTTTGACCGATGTCTCGGCTCAAAACAGCCGAAAACAACTCACTAAGCCACAGTCTGCCGATTCTGTAAAGTCAGCTGGCAAAAATCATAGAGATATTTTGCCCAATAGCACTCTAATACGACAGGCAGTCAGGAGACTTAGCCTTTATATAACGGTTGAGATTGTCCATCAAGCTAACAATACGTCGATAAAGTGTTTACTGATTGAATGTTGTCTAGTACTTACACGACATGTGCACAGGAAATACAGGAGTAAAGACAGGGCTTAATACACCTTCGTGTATGAGAAATCAAATAAACTCTAGATTGATGTCACGAAATGACCAACATGTCCGCGTTCAACTGCTAACGACAGTGTCGTCCTCGTGAGATTTTGAATATTATAAATGCATTTTACAAGTGATTGTGCAGGATGAAATTGACCTGAATTAAACACATTATTTAAACAGTAAGTACGTCTTAAGATATTATCGCATATTCTATGTTTAGTCAGACAATTCAAGTGGTTCTGTATTGTAAACTTTCAATTTAAATAACAACCAAGAACCAGAGGTAAGCATATCAAAATGAAACCCAACTGGAATCTGTATGTACTTTGAGCGCCATGCATTCAAAGTGCATTATTAACCTGTGATTTATCGTATCAAAGGTTGGAAAGAAATGACTGAATCAATTCTCTCACACGTCAGAAAGTAGGATGTGGAGCCCGTACTACATGACTTTATACGATTAAGTTTATTAAAATACAGAAGAGATAAACACAGGAAGTAAGTATTTGAGACTCTTCGTCCTTAATAAAACTACAGGTAATGTACAGTTACATATGTAGCCTTTAATACCGTAACTTAACATGGTTTCAGATGGCGATACATTATTGATACGCTAATCAATAAGCCAATGATGCGTATCCTACACATCCTTTTGTAGATTATAGAAATTGTGATGAAATGGAAGTAATGTGCGTGACGAAAGACAACCTGCCGTGTACCGAGAATAACGTTCTAGAACGTGACCAATGCCTGCAATGGAATTGTACCCGATACAAATATATGATATGAAAACCAAAACCGCCTTGGAAAACAAAACAAGATGTTCACGAACAGAATGTATACCACTTCGTGTTGTTATTACCTAACGCTTAGTTCAGTCATTTTAAGCAAATAACGAGAACTTGGTGAGGACATCTCCCGCATACACAACCCTGCTGTCATTTACTTACAAATCAATAAGCAATCACGGGTATTTGTTTTCTCGAAGGACGCGTGCGGCTTGGTAAATATATTTAGATGTTTGTTTATTATATTAGCAGTCCTGCTGCACAACAGCGTCACAAAGACAGCATTATATGGAGGATTGTAAATGGTAGGTGTAACAAAAGGAGACATTTACGTACAAACTGTACAAAGAAGGGGATAAGATCAAGGTTCAAAGAATTGGGCACAGCAGAACAAATTTTGTGTTGGTTTTTTCAATGTTCCCTTGTCAGAAGGCACAAAGATACCTCTGGTTCTGCAGGCTGTCAGATATTAGTCAACTCATACAATCATGTATTTAGATACAACAGGTTCGTTATTTACCAGCGTCCCCTTACCTCCATGGGAAGGGCGACAATATCTATGCTAATTCTTTTTGCCTGTTGTTTATTTGTCTAATACTGCAGGCAGTCAGGGGACTTAGCCCTTATACAACGGGGTTGTCCATCAAGCTTACAATACGTCGATAAAGTGTTTACTGATGGAATGTTGTCTAGTACTGACACGACATGTGCATCAGGAAACACAGGAGTAAAGACAGGACTAAATACACCTTCGTGTATGAGAAATCAAATAAACTCTACATTGATGTCACGAAATGACCAACATGGCCGCGTTCAACTGCTCTCGACAGTCTCGTCCTCGTGAGATTTTGAATATTTCAAATGCATTTTACAAGTGATTGTGCAGGATGAAATTGACCTGAATTAAACACATTATTTAAACAGTAAGTACGTCTTAAGATATTATCGCATATTCTTTGTTCAGTCAGAAAAGTCAAGTGGTTCTGTGTTGTTAACCTTCAATTTTAATAACAAACAAATGGACCAAGAACCAGAGGTAAGCATATCAAAATGAAACCCAACTGGAATCTGTATGCACTTTGACGCCATTCATTCAAAGTGCATACCTAACCTGTGATTTCTCTTATCAAAGGTGGGAAAGAAATGACTTAATCAAATCTATAGATATATTAAAAGTTTTATTTTACTAATCACGCATTCTTTCTTTTCTTTCGCTATCAAAAGGATGCCCTTATCAAATCTTTGATATCAGACATTAATTTCCGGATTCAACAATCTGCCGTCTGTAACCTTAGCCTTTACCCTTAGCCATTCACTCAGATAATTTAATATACAGTAATAGTATACATATATAGATATTATTACTTAGTCTAGTGTCTCTGGATAACATTGGAATTTTCACTTACTGTATGTCTAAATGTACCTCATCCCGCTCCACCTTTGCCATTATATACCCACTATCTGCTACGCCAGCACACAGATTATGAATTTTTCATACTGACAGACACGCGTAATGACACTTTGGAAGTCAACCTTAGAATATGACTACAAATGCCAAGGTTTAAAGGAAATTAAAATCTGAATAGTATAGTAGCCTAACCTTGAACAAGTCACTATTAGATTCAGAGGATAATTGCATGTAATTCACTCAACTTTTTATGAAAAGCTTATAAATAAAAAATGGTGGATATTTTCTAAAGTAACAGGGCGATGAGTGTTAAATTATAACAAACAGGACAGAATGTAAATGTTCTGCATAGTCGATATTGTGTCATGGTTTTACCTAAATTTTGACCAATAGCAACATTGGAACCTCACGTCACCGAACATGTAAATAAACAATTCCACAACAGACAGGTAGCTGTATTGATTATAAAATAACGTTTACCTGTATCAGAATGCGTGTCAGTAGAAATATTTACTGAGGGCACAATAGCACTGTAAGGTGTGAATGGAATTACCTGTGTGTTTGCTTATTCTATCATTTTCATTTTGTGTTCCATTTGGACCCCAAATGTTAAACATGCGAAAGGGTTAAAATAATAATTAACTCTGGCATTTAAACATCACAACATATGTACAGCCAAGGTTATAACAGATATAAAGGTCCAGAAAGCTATAGATCGTTTAATCGCTCTAGTTACATTAATAGTAAAATACTTCTCAATGGCGTATTATCATCGGAAGCTATGCATGTCATGGTTAATTTTTCTAAATATAGTAGACATAAATAGCTTAATGATACGAATATAACCATTCTGCTTAAGAATTAAACGTTAAATGTGGAAACCTACTTATCAATTATCTTTGTTTTTCCCTGCAAATGACGACATTTAATCAGAATATAGCACAATATTGCAATGTGAATGTTGTTATTCATTTTTGATAACCGCATATCTATTTTTAAATTTTAAAGGTATAATAAGCTGTGCGTGTTACGTTCCTCTTCCAAATCGTGGAAATGATTTTTTTAACACAATATTGTCAAGGCAACATATTGTAACAACATACACTGTAGATATGTATTGACTATTGATAAATAAAAGTTAGCATATATAGGTATATAATATGTCTTAAAGTTTGATAAATATCATTCTGTTTAGATAAACAAAACTTGCTCAGTCATTACTACTTTATCAATTGAATACCACTGTTAGCTCCGACGAGCAAAAGTTGACCCCTACAACCATGCATACGTACAGAGATATATGTATATGTATGTAAACTCGCACTCACCTTAAAACACTATATATACACAGGTAAGTATGCACGCCAACTACGTATGCCACACAGCACTTAACACAAGTTTCCCTGGCGGACACAGATGTTCAAATGTTAACAAGATTCTTTCCACAGCTCCACTCTCACAATTCCAGAAGAAAAGCTCATTGGAATTGTGTAAACAATCTATCTTTAGACATACGCACACTCATCAGTGATGTCTGATCCGGCTTACCACTTAGAGTAAAAAGTTAAAAATTTGCCTTTTTATATATCTACATTCCGTGTGGTATTTTCATGATTGACAGTAAGAAACATTTATAATCACATGTTAAAAGCCACAATCCATATACAGATACATAGTTATACACATACAACTAGCATCATCCCGTCATTCACCAGGCTTGTAATGTACAACTGACAATCTCATCCATCGAACGCTTTGATAAACGTCTAACTCACGCTGCAGCTTGAAGAATTGAATTGACGCGGGTGACTTATAGATCCAGATGGCGTTTTAGGGAGAAGTTTCCCAGTCGCCTGAACGCTTGCATTACATGTATATGAAAAATAGGCCCGATTGAATTGTCCACATTTGGTTCCAACGGTATATAATAATTGATCCCGTTGAGAGGGTTATAAACAAATGCCTACGATCAAGTCTCATTGATTTTCTGACTCTACCCGGAGTTCCTCTGGCTTGTAATTCAAACTAGTGGTGGTGTTAAATGCGTAATTACTATGAGCTCAATTGATCATTTATTTGAATCTAGTCAGTGGCTGTTGATTTATTGTGGAGATCGAGCACTCACAAATAATCGATAAACAAATGACAAAGTTAATATGTTTGCTGCCTTTATAAACAGAATATTAAACAAGAATCATAAGCCCGTATTGTGTGAGGAAAATTAAGGTAATATTTCATACACGTAAATGGGATAAAGATATTGTATAGTAATGACAGTGGCCAGTCAGAGAAAGGTTCCGTTTTTGGAATTAGGAGATTTGTAAGTGTACCTGACCCCTCATCCATCAATAATCCCTCTCGTGCTGTTGCCCCTGCTGTGACGCAATGATGTATAGCTAGGCGGACTGGCGTAACTATGATGTATGAATCCCCAGAGTGCACCGGTAGCAACCCCATATACACAGATTTATCCTGGTCCAGACAATAACATCACAAGCAAGTAGAACATCCAATCAGATAATAGATTGATTTGAAATAATTTTACATTTTCAACAGGAATGACAAAAATAAAATATAATAATGATTAAATTAGTAAAATGATGATCAAATACTTTTATAAAAAATGAAAATAATAGCATTAAACTAATAAGTGGTCAACACACGTTTAGTCTAGTATAAAATGATAAGACTTTGACAGCTTCTATATAAGATAAAATATAGCGAATATATTGGATATGACATAGCTATAGCGAATATATTGGATATGACATAGTTTTAGCGAATATATTGAATATGACATAGCTATAGCGAATATATTGGATATGACATAGCTATAGCGAATATATTGGATATGACATAGCTATAGCGAATATATTGGATATGACATAGCTATAGCGAATATATTGGATATGACATAGCTATAGCGAATATATTGGATATGACATAGCTATAGCGAATATATTGGATATGACATAGCTATAGCGAATATATTGGATATGACATAGCTATAGCGAATATATTGGATATGACATAGCTATAGCGAATATATTGGATATGACATAGCTATAGCGAATATATTGGATATGACATAGCTATAGCGAATATATTGGATATGACATAGCTATAGCGAATATATTGGATATGACATAGCTATAGCGAATATATTGGATATGACATAGCTATAGTGAATATATTGGATATGACATAGTTATAGCGAATATATTGGATATGACATAGCTATAGCGAATATATTGGATATGACATAGCTATAGCGAATATATTGGATATGACATAGCTATAGCGAATATATTGGATATGACATAGCTATAGCGAATATATTGGATATGACATAGCTATAGCGAATATATTGGATATGACATAGCTATAGCGAATATATTGGATATGACATAGCTATAGCGAATATATTGGATATGACATAGCTATAGCGAATATATTGGATATGACATAGCTATAGCGAATATATTGGATATGACATAGCTATAGCGAATATATTGGATATGACATAGCTATAGCGAATATATTGGATATGACATAGTTATAGCGAATATATTGGATATGTCATAGCTATAGCGAATATATTGGATATGACATAGCTATAGCGAATATATTGGATATGACATAGCTATAGCGAATATATTGGATATGACATAGATATAGCGAATATATTGGATATGACATAGCTATAGTGAATATATTGGATATGACATAGCTATAGCGAAAATATTGGATATGACATAGATATAGCGAATATATTGGATATGACATAGATATAGTGAATATATTTGATATGACATAGCTATAGTGAATATATTGGATATGACATAGCTATAGCGAAAATATTGGATATGACATAGATATAGCGAATATATTGGATATGACATAGATATAGTGAATATATTTGATATGACATAGCTATAGTGAATATATTGGATATGACATAGCTATAGCGAAAATATTGGATATGACATAGATATAGCGAAAATATTGGATATGACATAGATATAGTGAATATATGACATAGCTATGTCATAGCGAATATATTGGATATGACATAGATATGTCATAGCTATAGCGAATATATTGGATATGACATAGATATAGCGAATATATTGGATATGACTTAGCTATAGCGAATATATTGGATATGACTTTGCTATAGCGAATATATTGGACATGACATAGATATAGTGAATATATTGGATATGACATAGCTATATCTAATATATTGGATATGACTTAGCTAAATCGTGATTGAATAAAGGAAAATAGTCGGTTGATTACAAATGACTGTCAGATACCGGTATTAAGAAAGGCTATCTCTAAAATCCATGCGCATTTACTGTCATCATCAATGTATCAACAAAAACTGGAAAACGATAACACTATTTACACAACAGTAATACATCATAAATAATTAAGTTATAAAAACCTAAATTACCAAATATAAATATTACAAGATGGCGTCATGGTAAGCAGGTCGCCTTTCACCAAAGACGACCGGGGTTCGACACAGGTCGTCTCCAAACCACGTGGGTTTTCTCTGTGTATTTCGGTCCTCTCACGTTAAGACCCCCTTAGCGCTTCCATATTGTCCAAAAAGAATGAGATATATAACATTAAACCTGAATCTCTGAATCAATGGTTGACATCGAGTTAAGCCAATGGCTTCTTATGATGTATGATAAACCTTTTTTATTTTATTGTAAAATAGATATAGTTTAAATTAATTATTATTAGATGAATCAGAGACAAAGATATAATAACGCAGAAGACATATTTGTAAGGCATGTGGAAACAGTAGTATGACGTGTAATTACCGTTGCTTATTACAATGTTAATGAAAAATTCATTTAATAACAAGAAGATATTTTTCAAAACATTTGTCTTTTTAAAGATGTGAAATATACTGAAGCTGCAAGTTACTAGACGACATTTTATCCGCTCATTGTACATGTACACACTTTATGATATAGAAGAATATTTGACTATTAGGAATATATCGTTTGTATATACCTTTCTGACCAGAAATGACATATCAGATATGTGGGCGCCTTACTTATACATACTGTCCGACAACAGAGCAAGGATTTGTCCTGAAAGACAAGATGCAGGACCAATGGTAAACAATTTGGTGATCCCAGACGTATAATTCTATGATAGCTTACCAATAACTATAATTCATAAACATGAGGAATATTTGGACGGTTTTCTTGGCGTACAAAATGTCCATAATCAATTGATTTACACCGGGTTATATTAAGTGTCCATTATGGCGGGCAGGGAAAGCCAGAACACGAAACACCCTCATAATTACTAAATAATAAAAATCCTATTCAGCAAAACGTTTTGTTACGTACTGATACAAAAATCTCCGTTGAGGCAGACAACGTTATTTTTATGCGTAAACAATTGTGTTCAGGTCAAAGATAAACTGGAAAACGTTCATTATAGTGTTGTAAGCTACGGAATAAACAGTTACAAACGTACTTAAGTGTGACGACCTGATAGTATCTCCAGATAACACTGCGCGTGCCAGCTCTCCATTTAATAAACATCTAAATTGTAGTACAGTTTACATTTCAACCTCTCAGTAAAATTAATGCCAAATAAATGTCTAAACACGTTTAGCAGTTACATTTTATTTGACAGAATTTCTTGAACTAAATTATATCCTTCATGGAATCATCTCAGCTATGTGGTTATTGAAAAACGTAATTGATACTCATATATTTCCAATGGCAGTGAATGGGTTTAGTGTACAAGTAAAGGTACAAATCCCTTGTTTGCTTAAAGTACTAAAAGCAAGAGACATATGAACTTCACAATTAATTTACACAACGTTAAGATTTGGTTTTTAATTTGTTGATTGAGGTGTAAAATGAAAGTCCGAGATACTATTTGATATCAAAATCAATTTTATTCATTACTGATTTTTTTTTCTTTTTATATAATTATTTATTTTTCGCTATTATTTTTTGTCCTCAATATCTCTAAGTTAAGTTGGTATGTGAACAGAAGAAAATTACTGCATCATTTTTGTTGTTCTGTATTTTGCCTACCGTTGTAAACGAAACTATTTGGCTATTCAAAAGGTTTGCGACACCGCGATTTCAAGATTTATGATTTATTACTTGGTGTATTACTGGTCTGTTTTTCAATATTACTTATCAAAATAACCCAACGTTTAACAGAAACTTCAAAGCGACGAGACAAGATACCACTAGACTAGCCATTGTAATTAAGCGAACACGTAGACAACTATCTACCTGACCTGGTCAGGAGAATTTAATATTAATATATACATTCATCACGAATTCCAGACATAAAGCAATGTCAAAAGATTAGTAATAGCATCAAATCACAACAAAATAGCATATATTTCTATTTAGGATGTCAATATCATATTACATGGAAACAGTATATTCTAACACGAGGTTAGTTTTATACTGATGTAGCAATTAACTGCAGAGACTGTATCGTCATTGATTTTCACAATGAAATCAGATATTCCACCAAACCATTTTCCTTCGGAGGTTATGTATGTATTCAAAGGTCAAAGGAATCTGGAAAACGTTCATTATAGTGTTGTAAGTTACGGAATAAACAGTTACAAACGTACTTAAGTGTGACGGCCTGATAGTATCTCCAGATAACACTGCGGGTGCCAGCTCTCCATTTAATAAACATCTAAATTGTAGTACAGTTTACATTTCAACCTCTCAGTAAAATTAATGCCAAATAAAT